TCAAGGTTGGTCTCGCAGAGAGCCAGTATATCCGGGCAGTTCACAACAAGGAAAGATTCAACACTGCAGAAGTTAGTTCTATAGATTTTTTATCAAGATTTTCTAAAAATAAAAATTTCAAAAATAATTTCATTCATTTGTGAATGTCTTTCCTGAAAGGTTCATTAAAATCCAACAATTATTTGGTTTTTGTAAGAATTTCTAAATCAAAATGTTTTTCGCCAAAAAAAAAAAACAAAAACGAAACAAAAAAAAAAAAAAAATTATTATTACGTTGGCCGCTGACGTAAACAAAACAAGATTTTCAACCAAAATTTCGAACGTGCTAAAAAGGATTAAAAAATTTCAAAAAAAATAATGAAAAAAAAAATACTTTGGTCTTTCCTTTTTAATAAAAACAAACATTTGATGACAAAACTCTGTTTTTATTGAGTTTGGGGTTTTTTCATCATGGTATGAAAAGTGGAGGTATCTAACTTAAGGGGACAATACTCTGAAGAATTTTGAGCCTTAACTCGAACCTGTTTGGGGGGTAAAAGTCCCCCAAGGGGGCCACCTGTTGGCCGTGGGTGGCGACCCGTGATGCCTGGGGACGGGATCCTGGTGGTTGAGCAGACCATGATCCGGGTGGAAAGAGGTCATGGTCCTGCACCACACCACTTTGGCCCTTACCTGGACTAGACGGGCGGTCGGAGGGGCCCGATCCGATCAATCGACTGGTCAGGTCAAGCGCTAACATCTACTCCCAAACACACACACATATATATATAACACCATGTGGCTGAGGGTCAATTGTCAATGTTGAGACTCATACGCCCAGATATGGCTGCAAACCATCCACTTGTGCACTGATGTTATGGGGTGGTGAACAAGGTGATGTGACAAGTGCTCTGGGTCTCTTACGCTGATGAGTATACTGATTATGTAGTCCCTGATCTGTCAAGGCGATAGGGTTTCCCCCTTGACGGATCCCAATTACGGGCTCCGACATGGATAGGTGGGTGGGGAGCACAGTCAAAGAATCAGATGACACATTTAAATGGAAAACAAACACAAACAAAACCCCTTAGGCAAATTAAGTTCCAATAAATCCATTAAGAGACCACATATGGATTCCGACTCTGAGGAGGACCATAACATTATGGAAAACTTTCCCAGATTCATAATATTAGAATCTATGGAAGAGACTCCATTGACCAAATTATCCCCTTTTCTGATACAGAAAGTAATATCCACCAATGTTCCCGCTAAAACAGTGAAGAGCATCCGAAACAGAACACTACTAATAGAGGTAGAGAAGAAACAACATGCCACCTCCCTCCTGAAAATGACCAAATTTCATAATGTGAAAATACGAGCCTACCCTCATCAAAAATTAAATTCCTCTAAAGGAGTACTGCGAAGCAGAGAACGCACATTATGCACAATTGGGGAGATTAAAACAGAACTAAAAGGCCAAGGAGTAATTGATGTGAAGAGGGTCTCTATAAAAAGGGAAGGAAAAATAATAGAAATAAATGCATATATTTTAGCTTTCAACACGCCTATCATACCAAAAGAAATAAAGATTGGGTATAATATAGAAAGAGTGGAACAATTTATCCCTAACCCTCTTCGATGATATAATTGCCAAAAATTTGGCCACCATGAGGATGGATGCCGTGGACGAACGACATGTGGTAAATGTGGACGAAGAGACCCAGGCCATCTTACAAATGAATGTAAAGAAAAAAAACTAATTGCACAAACTGTGGAGATCACCCCTCCTACTAAAGAGAATGTGATGCATTCAAAAAAGAAATTATGACCGTGAAACACGCCAAAAACATCTCCTTCCCTGAGGCTCGTAGAATAGTGGAAGGATATATGAAAGGGGAAACTTACTCACAGGTTGCAAGAGAAACAACAACCAAACAAGATAAGTATGAGGCGTTAGTAGAGAAACTACTACAATTGGGACCAAATGACTGGCCTAGGTTCATACAAGAAATCAAACCAGTTATAACAAAACCTAAAGTCACCCTCATAAAACAGCCCAACAAAGAGGAAAGGACCAAAGAAATAGCAACAAAATCAATAGCAATATCCATCTCTAATTCAAATTGCAAAGAACAAATAGAACAAGTAATCGAGGAAAAACCTAAGGGTACAAACCCAATCCAAGTGAAAGATAATAAAATTACTTCTGCCAAACAAGAACCTACACTACCATCCATATCCAAATCACGACCAAAAAAAAAAAAAAAAAAAGGAAAAGCAAATACAAAACAAATTCGAAGCCTTAGAATCAATGGATGTCAAAGGAGTGAATCCTCGACTACACACAGGAAAAAAAAATAAACAAATACAGAACCAATTTGAAGTCTTAGAGCCAATGGATACCGAGAATGAGATACCTCGAACATCCAAACTAAAACAGCTTTCAAAATAAATGGCTTACAGAATCCTCCAATGGAACATAAGGGGTGAGAAGGTTGTGAATTGATGCTTCTCATCGCCAATTTCTGCCCAGCAGTCATATGTTTACAGGAAACACATAAAAAATGACGACTCACTTCACATTAAAAAATATACATCATACAACTACATAAATGATCAAAGAGATAGAGCCTCAGGTGGCTCATCAATTATAGTTAATAACATCATTCAAAGCGAAATCAAATTAAAGACAAAACTGCAAGCAATTGCAGTATTAATAACACTACAAAAAATAGTGACTTTCTGCTCACTATACCTACCTCCAAATGATACACTGGACAAGAGAGAGCTGAATAAACTGATTCAACAATTACCTAAACCCTTCATACTGATGGGGGATTTTAATAGTCACAGTGAAATGTGGGGCAATAAGGATACAAACAGAAGAGGGAAAATAATAGAAGAATTTTTAGATCAGAACCAATTATGCCTTTATAACAATGGGGCTAATACATATCTGCACCCAGCAACTGGAACATTATCAGCCATTGACTTAACAATATGTGATCCCAGCATTTACTTGAATTATCACTGGAGAGTACATGATGAGACTTAGGGAAATGACCACTTCTCTATCATATTAGAACCCAGAAAGGGACAATAAAACACCTCGATGGAATATTCAAAAGGCAGACTGGCAAGGTTTCCAAAATGTATGTCAAGAAAAATTGACACCAGAAGCAAATATAAACAAAGAGGATGATATATCTTTACAATCACATTACAAACAATCGCAGAACAAAATATTCCCAAAAGATCACCCTCTTCTAAATTCAATAACCCCTGGTTTAACACACAATGCAAAGTAGCTGTGAGAGCCAGACGAGCATCCCTTAGGAAATTTAAAAATCGTCCAACCAAAGAAAATTTAGATGCCTATAAAAATGATAGAGCTAAGGCATGCAGGACCATTAAAGAGGCTAAACAATCATCATGGCAGCAATATGTTAGTAAAATGAATTCAGACACTAAATCTAAAAAAGTATGGGACATGATTAGAAAAAATTCAGGGAAAAACAGACAACCTTACCAACATATCACCCACAAGGGCACCAGAATTACAAATAAAAAAGACATAGCTGAACACCTAGCCGAAACCTTTGCTAAAAACTCCTCAAACAATCCTGAAAAAAAAGAATTCCAAACAATCAAAAAGCGTGAGGAGATAAAAGAAATCAATTTTCATTCAGACAACTCTGAAACCTATAAGCAACCATTCATGTTAATAGAATTACAAGACGCTTTAAAAAAAGCACACAACACAGCTGTTGGTCGCGATAAAATTCATTACGAATTCCTAAAGCAATTGCCCAGAGGACCAAAAAATACCTACTCAAAATCTATGATATCTGGACTACTGGAAAAATCCCAAATATATGGAAACAGGCCACAGTAATTCCTATGCCCAAACCTTCCAAAAACCCTACAGATCCAATGAACTACGGCCCTATTGCACTCACCAGCTGTGTATGTAAGACTTTTGAAAGAATGGTGAATATAAAATAAACTGATCACAGAACATTAGGCAGGCTTCCGAAACAACAGGAGCCCTATTGATCACATAGTAAAATTAGAAACATACATACTAGAAGGTTTCATCCAAAAAGAAAACATCGTATCAGTGTTTTTTGATTTGGAAAAGGCATATAATACAACATGGAAATATGGGATAATGAAAGACTTGAAGGAAATGGGATTGAAGGGCAGAATGGCAATATTGATTAAAAATTTTATGAGTGATAGAAAATTCAGGGTGAAATTTGGAGATACCCTTTCAGCTTAGAAAGAACAAGAAATGGGAGTGCCACAAGGCAGTATACTCTCTAAAACACTTTTTAATATAAAGATTAACAACATAATTAAAAACATTAATACTAGAACAGAATGTGCCATATACGTAGACGATCTAATGATATGCTATAGAGCAAAATATATGCGCATAATTGAAAGGCAACTGCAACTAAGCCTAATTAAAAGGGTATAAATTAAAGGCTATAAATAAGGATTTAGTTTTTCTAAAGAGAAAACCAAGTATATGCATTTTTGCCAACATCGTAAAATGCATAATGATACTACATTGAAACTTGGTAACGACACAATAACGGGGGTTAAACAATATAAATACCTCGGTATTATCTTTGACCAAAAACTCGCTTTCATACCACATTAAGTACCTGAGGAAAAAGTGTAACAAATCTATCCAACTACTGAGTCATAGCCCATACAAACTGGGGAGCTGATAAAAAAAAAACACTTTTGAAACTCTATCGAACACTAATAAGATCCAAATTGGATTATTGCTGTTTCGTTTATGGATCAACAAGGAAATCATATATCAAAGAGTTGACCACTATCCATCACCAAGGGCTAAGACTAGTAATAGGAGCATTTGCCATCTACCCCAGAAAATCACTATATCAAGAGCCTATCCATCACGTAAGACACATTTGCCACTACCCCAGTGAACCACCACTGGTAATGAGAAGAGGAAAATTGGCATTACAATATATCAAATTAGCATCATGTCTCTCAAATCCTACAGACAAGTGCGTCTTTCAGCCACAACAGTTTTGTTTGAAAAAAAAAAGAAAAGGCCATCAAATCATACAGACTACGAATCAAACAAGGTAAAGATGAAGCCGAAATAGATATATCCATAATTCACAAATCTGTTGGCCTGAAATATCCACCTTGGTTGGCAAAACAACCAACAATAATACTTAAGCAAGTACTCAAAAGCAAAAACCAACCCAATTATATACCACGAAGAACTTCAAAGTATTAAAGACAAATACCAAAACCACATGGAAAAATATACAGATGGATCCAAAGTTGGAGATAAAGTTGCTTGTGCTGTAGTGCAAAACAAAAATAAACTATTAAAGACTCCCTGATAAAGCATCAATCTACAGTGCTGAAGCATCAGCCATAGAACTGGCATTGAATATAATTGAAAACAGTGAAGAAAAGACACACATCATCTTTACAGATAAGAATTCAGTACTAACTGCATTGGAAAATAGAAAAACAGACAACTCTTTAACAACTAAAATCCTTAACAAGATCGATGTAATTACTAAAAATAAAGAAATAGTCTTCTGCTGGGTACCCAGTCATATCGGTATAAAGGGGAATCACAAAGCTGATCAGGCAGCAAAAAAGCACTAGAACTGGAACCCTCAAAAGATAAAATTCCCTTCACAGACCTAATAGCAACAATTAACAAACATCAAATGAACAAATGGCAAGAATCATGGAATTCTTACACCAATAACAAATTATATGCAATAAAGGAACAAATTGGAGAAATAAATGACTACAGTGAAATGACTAGAAAAGAACAAATAACATTATCAAGACTCCGTATGGCCCACTCGAGCATCATCCATTCTTAACTCCTTAAGAAGGAGGCAGCTCCAATCTGTATACCATGCCAGGAGGCTTATACAATATGTCACATTTTGACAAATTGTTTAGACTTAAAGCAAACTCGCCAAAGGTACTACAAAGAAACAAACCTGAAAAATATTCCTCCAAGTAAAACCTTCAAAAATACTTGAATATATAAGAGAAACTGGTCTCTATAACAAAATCTAGAAGAGATTGTGATAAACACAAATATATCAAGATATATACCTCCATGAAACTGCTTACTTCAAGATGCCTACTCAAACCAAGAAACACATTTAACTTAAGATTCTTTAAAGTCACTCAAACCCATTTTCGGCATAAAATGACCACTAAGGTTGAGATTCCGTTAAACAAATCAATCGATCAATCGAACCTGTTTGTTGGTGAGTGCTGCTGCTGCTTGTCATACTTGACTCCTGTTGAGTCTTGTGTTCAAAAGGTTAAAAGGAAAATCATATCAACATTGAATGATCAGATCACTGCATAACGTTGAATAGAATCTGCGGAATGTTATTTTAAAACGAACCACAAACAATTAACGTATATACTCTCGTATCATGCGACCTTTTGAATAGCTCATTTTGAAGCTAATTTGACTGCAGTAAATGGATATATAGATTGGTCAACAGCGTAACCAGGATCAGTAGTTCATACGCTAATTTTAAACTGAGGTCTTCAAAAGTCGCATGATACGCGATTATTACGTCAATTTTTTTATTTTATTTTATTTTATTTTTTGTATAATAAGCAGGGTGTATCACCTCAAAATTGTCATCGTTTTGTAGTCTGATAACATAGCCACTTATCGCTAACAAAATGTAAAAAAAAAAAGTTTACTGTGTGGACATATCTCCATGAGAATCTACTAGGAAGATGGGTTGGGCGTGTCAGTGATAATGACAATGTACTGTTGAAATGGCCACCATATTCACCTGACGAGACATCCTGCGACTTTTTTCTATGAGCCTAAGTGAAAGGACCGGTCTATATTCCCTCTCTTCCTACAAGCCTAGTGTGTAGAGAAAAGGTTACGCAAGACATGCTACAGCGTGTTTGGCAGGGTCTTGACTACCGACTTGATGTTTGTCGTGTTACAGGTAGTGCGCATATTGAACATTTGTGCAGCTTTGTGAAATCGGTTATAAAATCCACATCCTTTGGAATATCTTGCCCGAATTTTGATAACAATTTTATTGTTCAATATGAAACCTATTTAATTTAGTTTGCCTGGAACATGTAGATACTCAAATATTCACATTTTAAGTAATTATATATGACACTATTTAGCTATGGAAATTGACTAACTAAATAACCATAGAAATTAAAAACGGGAAATATTTAAGGCGAGAAAGGTCTCTACCGAAAGATAGACTGAGCGACATTAAAAAAAAAAGAAAAAAAAAGAATTTATTTTATTTACAAAAAGATACTTTTCACAAAAGACAGAAAATCAGTAAGGAGCGAGACTGTTTCTGTTAAATTAATTAATGTCGCGATAAGGTAGTGACAGAATTCTAAAAGATAAACAAAGCAGGCCCACACATGCGACCGTGGAGGGAAATTGGCTTAGGACCACCCTGGAGAGTGGCCATTAATTATCTTTCAGAGATGTCATTTGATTTCAGCGAGGGAAGCCATCTATGTACGAATCTTGACATGAAAAAATGAGTCGAAAAGGGGATCATTATTATTGCTTATTCAAATTGTTGACTCGAAAATGAGCATCTGGTGATGAGAAAAATAAAGAATTTAATTTTCGAGTGGGCACAGCCACCCAGTTGAAGGAATGACCAGCGGAGAACCCAGATGTCGGGTTTTTTGACAGGGATTAATGAGTCGATAGAGGTTCGGGCATTACGATATGATAAAGAATTATTCGCAATCTGGGAATTGTAAATGTTTTTGCCAAAGAAAAAAAAAAAAGGACTTTGTAAACATGAGGGCCAGTCTAGCCACACCCACACTGCCGAGAGATCATTGTCTATGTATGAGAAACACCCATTGAGGGGATTAGTATGAGATACCAATGTGAGATAGGAAGAGTCTAGGAGGATAACTCTCCTCCGACCTTTCCTCACGGACGAGAGAGGAACCCAGGAGTGGAAAGTGATTATCTTCCAAAAATGGGAAGTAACTAATTTTCCTGGCCTAAGAACAAAGAATTCTTGTTGGGAATTAAGAATTGTCAAAGAACCCAAACCACGACAGGCCCCACCCCGGTGTTGGTCGGTGTCAATATAAACAAACGTCTCTCGAGAGTTTTTTCGCCGTTTTTCGGCAGTGTTTCAGGAGTTCGAAGTTGCAGTTGGAGACCAGCCTCGCAGGAGCTGATCGAAAGATTTCCACGTCCTTTTCGACTTAGACTTCCTACCAATAGCAAGTTTTTATTGACGAACGACTTAAGATACCATAACTCGCTTAAGAAACGCAAAAAATGTCAAGAATCCATAAAAACTGTCCGGGAGAGAAACGCACTCCTGTATTCAACAGATAGATAACGTTAATTGTTATTTCTCAACATATTTGAACCTCTTGAGTTGTTTTATTTTCTTTTACTTACGCTTGTGCGGTATCACATTTACCCCGGATTCAGCTTGCACTACGGCTCGACGCCTGATTGATTTCGTCTACCTAAGATCAAAGTCACAACGTGGGTAGGTTAGACTTGAGATCAAAGCAGTTACTTCGGTGACCAGGCGTTGGAGGCGAGCTGAGAACAAGGCTGGTATCGAACCGGAAACTACCAGATCGACCGGGACGTGGGCTGGTGGCAGCGACAAAGTCATATATTGACGTCGCAACCAGTGGACGTCACATGTTGGCGCTGGTCTGCGACCGCGACCACCGGTGCGTGTTATATATATTAGCCTAGTAGCCACCATTCAGGAAGGCTTTTGGGTCTGCGTCATATGTACGTAAAAGGTCTAAGAATTTAGAAATAATAAAATTATCTCTTATTCGACACTTTCATTCGACATAATCTTTCTTCGCATACGCAACTGATCTCCATAGTTTGTTTTACATTTATTTTGCGCACAATTTTTCTTTTATTTTAAAATGGCCATTCTTTATGAGCCCTTCATATAAGCTCACTCTTAAGACATTAGGGAACCCAAAAATTTTTAATGTTTCAAAAATGTTACAATACGCGTGCTAGAAAAAGATAAAAACATGAACTACGTCCCGTGCCCCGACGAAAAGCGAAATTAAAGTTAAATCTTTAAAGAATTCTTTGTGTGTGTGTTTTTTTTTTTTTTTTTTTTTTTTTTTGTTAAATCTTCCGCTGTGTTTGATATTTGAATTTAACTTAAAGTTAAATCATTTATTTAATTTTAATTGCGTGTAATTACAGTTGTTGCAACCTGTTACTTCAGGTTGTTTGATTTACCGCGGTCAAAAAAACGCACACGTACGTTATGCTTTATTCATATAGAAGGTTTATGTTATATATTTTATGAATAATATTTTATAAAAACATTTTCCCCCTTGTTTTTAAAAATATAAATTCTAAGTTGTAAACCTTTGTTATAAATCATTTAACATTAGAATCTTGTTGATTTATTAGAAGTACAAATAAAACTTAAATTTTAACGTAGTTGGAGTTTGGCGTACAGAGTACTCTCCCTTGACTTATTTAATAATTGATATAAATTCTAGAAAAGGATGTGACATTGAACTTAATGACAGCGCCCGCCGGCGTTTAAAATTATTGAGAATTATTAAAACATTTAATATATAATATATAATCTTTATAATTTATTTTGTTTTGCAGACTACAGATATCATTGTTGTTCGGTCAGCGACCAAGATCACACCAGAACTTTTAGACAAAGCTCACAAACTAAAATTGGTCGTACGCGCTGGGACAGGGTACGACAATGTTGATGTTGAAGAATGTTCCAAACGAGGTGTCCTCGTTATGAAGTGAGTGACAATTCTTTTTATTTATTTATATTTTGATTGATATATATGCCTGTTTATATGGGATTTATCATTCTTAGTCATACAAGTATTATGTGGGGAGTCATTTCATTAAATTGGAGTCGATGTTAACATCACACGTCTTGTTTCCTGCGAATATATTTGTATCTGATTCATACTATAAGAAAGATATATAAGTTTACTTGAATCATAACTCTGGTATTTCACCATGTGTTACTCACAACGACTTCAAAATGTCTACAAATCGAGTATTGTTCTACTCTAATGTCAACCAACCGCAGGATATTTATACACGGAGATTTAAACCCGAATAATATTCTTTCATCCGTTAGCTTTAAGTGATATTTACTGTCCATCCAGCATTGACGTGATGTGACAGTATGTTTTTAATGTGAAATACTAATACGCATAAATAACAGCTCTGCGCTCTATTATTCGTTCCTAACAAAATTTTTTCACCTTTTTTTTTTCTTTTAATACTTTGCTTAGCTTTTATAAGGCATATTTCAATTCTGTGTGCGATACATCTATTACTTCTAAATGCCTCGCAATACTTTTCTTCCTTTGAAAGAACAATAAAAATATTCAACAATACACCTATACGTTATGCATTGTCCCGGTTCTGTCATTAAAACAAGTGTAGAAGGCGATTATCTCCCTTTGGTTGAGAAGTCAGATAACGGGCTGCTTAATGACGTCATCCTAGAGAGTGATTAAATCGGCAATGAATTTTCAATTCGTTTACAGCAGCCAAATCAAGAGATTGCTTTCTTTAGCTCATGGCTGTGGCAGAGGCTAAATCTCCTCCCAATCAGGTCCATAGTGCTGTTTTCCTTTGAGAATATCTTTCCCGGATATAGAAACTCCTGCTCTTATTCCTCAATTTGGGAAAACCCAAATGTCCTCGCCTGGGACATAGAGGAATGAGGTTTTAATCTGGAGTCCTAAACATGGCTTCTTCAGACACAGGATTATCTCCATATCATATGTAAGACCCTTCCTTTTTGTTCATCCTTACACTCTGTTTTGCTGTATAGATATATATGATATATTGCTTTCCGCGTGGGACATGTGTATATATGTATATATAGCTTTGCGTATGTTATTAGCATAAAAGTTTCTCTGAGAACAAATATGTCATTCATTCCGTCCGTGAATTAAGGTGTTATAATAATGCCCAAAACATGGGGAATACAATGGGAGAATAAATTTCTCTTCCAAAGTTCTCTCCCGTTACACTTGTATCATGGAGAGGTGCTAGTACTTTGTAATAGCTTCAGTTTAGACACTACCTATGTTACATAAATCTGTCTACATGGGTAGACAGGTCATGAAAAATTATGGGATTAGTGATTGTGCGAGTGGGTGAGTCATATGGTTTGGTGAAATTAAGTCAGCTCGCCCAGGGAGTATGTTTCCGGAAGAAAAGAATGAATATCTATCTATTGCTTCGTAAGACTGAGGAAAAAAAAAAAAAAAATTCTTTCCTTGCCCAACTACTGACAATCCCTTGTTTTTTTTTTGTTTTTTTTTTTTTTTTTTTTTTTCAATGTATATTATACAGATGTTGTGCTTAAATTTTATGCAAAATTTAATCATCAATGTTTGTTGATTGCCAGACACATTTAGTTTGTTAATTGAGGAAATAACTAAAGGTGGGGAGTGATAGAGTAATGGTAAAGTCAGTGGGCAGTTGCAAGACATGGCAAAATCTTTTTCTATATACTAAGTTAAATTGCTCTTAGGAAATACAACCATCATTTTGATTTTTTTTCACTGCCACCAAAATTGCTTCGTTACTCCCTCTTATAGAAAATTAGTGTGGACATAGGAATCGGTACTGTATGGTGACTGTCAGTTTCGCACCTCGCTGCGATCTTTGAACCGGGTGTCACTGCTCCTGTAGGTCACTAACAAAAGATACAAGAAAGAAAAATATACAAAATAAAATAAGCAATTATGAGTTCATAACAAATAAACCTACTTATTAGCCTTTAACAAAAGAACTGTGAATAGCTGGTTTTACTACTTCCCTTTAATTCCCCAGGGACCTATAGAGCTAGCTAAGGGGTGGGTGAAATTTTGCGTGGGGATTGCATTGTGACGCTGACAGGTCATACTTTATATACCGTAAATTGCGTCGTACAAATCGAATTTTCAATCCTAAAAGATATTTCCAAAACAAGGGGTTGACTTATATGGCGGATATAAAATGCAAGCCTTTACCACTGAGTTGTAAACAACTGGGACAACACTCATAACTATTACCTTACACCACTTACCGTACCCCAGCAGGCTGCCACAAATATATCCCACTAGAACTTGTTTGGACATATTTGGCATATTAACACAGAAATTAAATAATAAAATAGTAACACAAATTTAGTTTTTCTATTAACGCTACATCACACATCGCGTCCGGCAGTTGATACAGTAAGTGTAAACACTGACCGAAACGCCGTTTAACTCAGGCGGCCATTCAGACAACTAAGTATGATATGCGTGTCATTTGCGCAATTTCATGAGAGTAATGCCAGTTTAATGTAGTTTTGGCACAGGTTATCGTATACTGTAGCCTACGTTTTGTGCCACTGGTAACCTAACGTATGTTTGTGGATTGACCTATCGGATAGGAATAGGCATAACTCGAAATTTTGAGTTAAAAATCTTGAGGTCGACTTGTACGCCGCAGTTTACGGCATCTATAAATGTGCCCTTCAATACTGCGCACTCTAGCTCTGTATATGTTTATAAAGAGAGCTAGAGTGAAAATCTCTCTCTCACATATATATATATATATATATATATATTATATATATATATATATATATATATATATATATATATATTATATATATTATATATTATATATTATATATATATATATATATATATATATATATATATATATTATATATATATATATATATATATATATATATATATATATATATATTATATATTATATATTATATATTATATATATATATATATATATATATATATATATTATATATATATATATATATATATATATATATATATATATATATATATATATATTATATATATATATATTTCAAGAGGATAGAATCCAGGTATTGCTTAATGACTTAAGCAAGAATATAATATAAAAGGTTCTAATTTATTACATTGGAATCGTAGTCACGATCCAATTCATCAGACCAACAAATTCAAAAAAATAAATCAGAAAATATAACTCCGGGTATTAAAAAAAAAAAAAAAAAATCAATTTCAGTGACTCTGTGTGCGCACACACACACACACACACATATATCTCTATATATATATATATATATATATATATATATATATATATATGAGTTATAGTGGATAAATGAAACGGCCAAATATAAGCAGGCGTGCTGGTATACTTAGACCCCTTGCCTAACGAACTGGGAACACCCACCTAGGGAAACTATATACTCCTACGCCAAAAACGTAGTTACGCGTATATGTACTTATATATAACACACTCTTATTCGATTGAAGGTAGAATTTTTAAAACAAATTCTTTTGATATAAAAGGTTTCTATTTTAGGAAGAATTGAGATATATCTCTATTACAAAACCAACAATCCAGTTATATGATTATAATGGTTACTTTATTCAACAGAGCATTTTAACTGTGGCGAGGATAAATGAGTGTTCTAAACTCTCGAATATTGTTGCCACACCTTGTCTAGTGCTTCTGATATGTATCTAGACATTCTTGACAGAATCCAAAGTTACTTCAGTGTCATCTGTTCTGACCTGCCATCTCTGCTCCAGTCACTTTCCTACCGCCATAACGTAGTTTCCCTGTGTCTTTTCTATAAATATTTTCATGGTAATTGTCCTGATGAGCTTTCCTCTTTGATATCCCCACATTATGAATGTAATCGTTGTACTAGATTGGCAGCTAGGTCTCATTTTACTGTTGAAATTGCTAAGCGTATGTTCTATTCTAATTTCTCTATTCTTTATTCACTTACACTTGTCGCCTGTTGAAATGTCTTTCATCTTCTTGCTTTCCTGTCAACTGCGGTCTTCAAAGATTTAAATGCAATGTTTATTGTCGTCTTCTGTCTTCTTGAATCCTGTTCTTTTTATTGTCCTCAGTAACGTTTTCTCTATTTTCTTCACTCTCAGTAATCCCTGACGTCTTAGTAGCTTTATCGCTTTGCTTGGGGTGAGATAAGAAATAATTATTGTTCGAAGTTATGAATGGAAACCATATTAAGTCTTTGGATATAATCACTTTACATAGTCTACATCAAACATTTGTAATAGAAACTTGTCAGATAATTTAATTCTGAAATGAAAGTGATTTTTTTTATTTTTTTTTATTTGATGTTTTAAATTGTTCCTTCTTAGTGTTCTTGATAATAAAATTTAGTCGAATAACATGTTTAATTGTAAAAAAATTGTCATGATTTACGAAGTTATATTAGTTCACTATGCTGTTCAAAATTCTAGAAAATTCATAGTCATTTAGAAACTATATTACGTAGAACTTTGCGTAAAATTCAACTTTCACGTCATCGTGTGCCAGCATGTTAATCAACAACCTCTTGAACACGCAGTATGACAAAACTGCACTTTATAACTATAGGGATGCAGAAAACATCATTTTTTGATGTTCTCATACCACAAAATTTCATAATTAACCAATTCCTCATACTCTCTGTTTTACAAATTAATTAAGAGTGCTATTTTTTTTTCTTTCTTTTGAATCCCCAGCAATATTTTAAAAAAACATATTTCCATTTTGGAAATATCGTCCTAAGGAGATTTATAGCTGATCTTCTAACAGCTCAATGGGTGAGGGGTGAATAACTAGCTCGGTGCTTTCAATACCTAAAAAAAAACTAGTATCATTTTTATCATCACCAATCAAAACCTGACCGTTCTTCAGTCACGATGAACGGTTGCACTTTCAACGAGGCTTCATGCCTTGGACGTCTACTGGGATTAAAGGTCTCTCCAGATCACAAGTGGAATTGGTATCCATTGCTAAAAATTGTCGACTCTTTCTACCGTTGTAGAAAGTACCCGACTCCTCCTACCTTTATATCTTTACAACGGACAATCTTCATTTTTCTGCCTTGATAGAACTCAAAATCGTTTACCCGCTCGTATGGGGATGTCTTATTTTCTCCTTTACAACTTATTTTCCCACGCATACAATGTCGCAAGCCTATCGCTGTTTCCATGACATATTTTCAGATGAGCTCCATTTCCTAGTTTCATCTGTTCAGACCTTTACAGCTTCGAATCTACACGGAGTTGAATCATCGCCATTCCCTCCGTACTCAGATTGTAAGGAGGGAGTTCAACTCTACTTTTTCCTAAGAACGGCTACTTTGTAGAACAGACTCCTGCGTGGATGCTTTCTTAAACATTAAAAGATTAGCCTCTTTAAGTCGAAGGCTAATCGTTATCTATCCTTCTTATTCTCCTCGTAATATTTACTTCGTCCTCCTCTAACATTCATATTACACACTTAATTCAGTAATCTTATACTTTGAATGGCTTTTGATCTTTGTATTGGCTGAACTTGAGTAAAAAAATTGAAGTTATTCATTTTTGTGTTCTTTGAATTACCTGTCTTTTCAGTTTGATTTTTATTTTTGGCAAAATATTTAAACACGTGAAGACTTGGCAAATAAAAGGCCGAGGCAAATAGAAAATGAAAGTGGAGTAGGACTAATATTAGACAAATACATGATGAAATGTGTTTTGGCATACTGACAATTCACGAACAGTTCTCTTCGCAAAACTGAAAGAGAATAATTTCATTGGTCATCATAGTAGCATAGGCACCAACATTACAAAGTATGGAAAATAAATTTTATAGCACACAAGATGACATCATGAATCATTGCAAATCGCAGGAAATCATGAGAAATTTAAGTACATAGAAGGGACGAAGCAGTGAAATAGGCAAGTACGTACTTTGATCACGCAAAGAATAACAGAGAAATAGGCCAAAGGATATATATAGCAAACAAAAAAAATAGTAACCAACACTTACTTTTAAGATTCTCCAAGACACATGAGAACATGGAAAAGCCCAGGAAGAAACGCAAAGAACCAGGTATTGATCTAACAACCAATAAAACACCTGCAAAAATGCAGGTCTACACTCAATATTCAAGTGCCAACTGTGGGAGCGACTACTTCCCAATCATATGCAAACCCAAATTACGGAAATTAAAGAAATCGAAAGCAACACCTGAACTACAACAAAACACTCCATGATTACTCAATTTGCAGATGTATACTGATAGTCAAGAGCAAATATAAGAGCTTAGAAGAGGTCAGGAATTCAAAGCGGAAAAACTTAAGTGAAGCTTTAGTGAAATCGGTGAACGATATCCTTTCGTGGAAAGGGAGAAAAAAAGAAATGGATGACATAAAATTCTTGAGCTGTTGAAAAGATAGTGTACAATGTCAAGGAACTGCATAGAATATTAAACAAAAGCATTAGATACAAATGCGGACAGAGGAAAGATAAATTGCTGAACGAGAAGTGTACAAAGACCGAGGAACAGACGGGCAAAACAAAAAAAAAAGTTCTTTAATATAAAAATTCATAAAATCTAAGAGTTAATGCTCATAACAAAGATAATTCAAAGATGGAACGAATACATCCGAGAACTCTTCCACGATGACAGAGCAAATCACAATACATAGAAAAACATGTAGAACCTGTAATAAAATCTCTTTGGTCGTTTTTATATATAGGGTGGCAATAAAGCCACGATACAGTTTGAGTTATTTATAATAAAAAACAAAGCCGAATCAGAAAAAAAAAACAATCGAACAGTTTCGGTAATTAATTTACTATTGTTTACCATAACATTTTATTGTTATTAATCAGAACCATTTTAATAATAAATTTTTGGATTGTTGATTTGTTTTGTCTTGCTCTTAATTGTTATAAGTAACTGTCTAGTGACTTTATTGCCACCCTGCGCGCGCGCGCGCGCACACACATATATATATGCATGCCATTGTGGTAATAAAAAATTACGTTTTGCAAGTACTTTTGGCTCTCAGATTTTTGCGAAAAAGTCCGAGATGCGTTTTTCGATATTTTAATTCATCGCTTCTTTTAAACTAAGCTAAAACTCATTGATAGGATGTCTCGCTATAAATTCTATACACTGAATATTATTGCTTGATAAGTACTGAAGAAAAGTCAATTAAAAAAAGTAGTTAAAATCACAAACTTATACCGCATTCTCCTGGTGATAGTTTAAACAGACGATTATTGAAAGTATCACTGAAATATAGCGAACATTTTTCAAGTTTTTATCTGAAATCAAGAGAATACGAAATTTAGGCAAAATGATAAAAAATGGAAAAATTGTGCTTGTTTAAACTGACGCCAAGATAATTGTTGAAGCCGATATATCGGCTGAAAATGTGATTATTTTAAATGTCTTTTTTCGCTATCTGCTGACTTGGACAGAAATTTAGATACAAACAGCACATCGGGTATCGTGGTACACATGTGTACTTCCATTTTACATTATTATGTTTGATATTATCACTTACGCATTGTTAGAAACTTAATTCCAAAAATGTTCCTTTTTATTTAATAGCACCCCAATGGCAAACACAATCAGTGCTGCTGAACATACATGTGGGTTGATAATGGCCCTAAGCAGGTAAGCATTTTTGTTTTTAACTTTTTTTTTATTTGAATAAATTAAAAAGATAACGAACAATTACAAACAGCAACTCTACGAACACACCTGGTCATGGAACGAATGATGATGATAGTACAGGTGTGTTATTTGAAGTATCGTTTTCTGCTTTGTAATGAAACTGAATAAAGTGGTTTATAAATATTTTACTTAGTGTTTATCGCCTTGATTAATTCGAATGATATATATGACATTTTCGCATTTTCTAAAAACTAGCTTTTTTTGCTTCTTGTTTACGTGTATTATATCAAATCTGGATCAGTGGTTTATATTTATAAACTTGATTGAAAAAATAAAAGCAACAAAGAACAATAAAAATTTGTTCTATTATCATACATAGTTTTGTTGCGGATGTGTGATGTGTGTTGGAAAGGAATAGGTTTGAATTATCAGAAGGCTTAAAATTGTGTGCGTTCAATAATCTTCCATCCACAATAATTAATACAAGACAGAAATAATGATTCATAAACGTCTTGTTTCAAAACGTAACAACTGAATTTATTAATATTTGATATACATGCATGAATACTGAGTGATAAGGTTAGACAGTTGTCTCTTAGATTAGGTAATATTTGTACCTAAGTTCATAAAGTGAAAGTAATTATTAAACTGTAGTTTAGAAAGAATAAAGTTTCTCTAGCATGTTTGGAATTGTGTATTGTACAAGTTGGTTCAGAAGAGATTCCAGAGTTCGTACTTGCGTGAATGTTGGTAATGGCCTTTAACGTCTGACCGCAAAGGCTAAGACGGAAGTTCTTGAAGATTACATCTTGGTACTTGGTAGCAAGGAATGAGACGCGAGAGAGATGAAAAGAATAGAAACACGAGGGAGTTTACACGTGTTCTGTTTTTATAAAGTCGTGTCTCACGTGGGAGGCTCCGAGCATATTGAGCGGGAAAACATTTGTCGCGTGCAGGCGGTTTGATTGGTCGGAACTGACCAATCAGCAAGCTAGATTGAAGGTGATGAACCAATGAATGCTTGTTATATATTTGTAAGATGGTGATGGTGAAAATTACAACAGGAATAGTGCATTTTCTAGCAGGGGTTAACTTGTTGTGGAAGATTCCACACTTTACTTGTAAAATATGAATATCAAATGGTAGTCCATGAAATCTCGTACATTTCACAAGTCTGTCATATTTTCTGTCTGAATTTTTGGGATGAGGAGTTATCATTATTTACATGTGGACTATTATCCTCATCTCTCAGCTGTGTGCCCACTGGCCTTTTATTAAGTGTTTGTGTCTGGATCCGGGTAACCATCAGAGAATTTTGAACTAAACCCCTTTTTATTTAATCTAAGGGAGTAGATTGTTCTCGTTCTGCTATGTCTAGAGATATCTCTTTAATACCTGAAAGTAGAAAAAAGAAAATGTTGCCTGGTGGTGGGGGGGGCAAATGAGGCTTGGACCCACCCTGGTCGAGAGGTTCGGGAATAGTACGCACCGACCCTGCTTGGTTTTATAGCCAAATGATTTCTACTGAACACAAAACAAAAAGAAATCCCTTTTTGAAATAGTGAAATGAATTAGACAAAGACATTTTTATAACAAAGAAAAAGACTTGTATACCAACAATAAATACAAGTGGATTTTTTTTTTTTTTTTTTTTTTTTTTTTAAGGAAATTCGTAAGTGTGTTCGGAATATTTAAGACTGAAAAGTTAAGACAATTTTTTATTTTAGTATGTCGAAAAGAATTAAACATGTTTAAAAATTACTTAATGTAATATACAATAAATAAAGAGCTGAATATACTTCGATTTCCATAAAATTGTGCAAACCTGGGAGCTCTTTTCATCAACCTTTTTATTTGTGTGTGTGTGTGTGTGTACGGTGCCGGAAAGATCTCGGTTGACCCATTTTCCCACATATAACCAAATGATTAAGCATCAGATTATTTTGTGGATGAATTTTCTTCATTGTTGGACAACCTTTTAGCACTCCTCGTGTATCTTTACAGAATTTGATAATGACTGGCATCTTGGTACAACGGCACAGAAATAATTATTTTTGTGCTCTTTGCTACAGTTATTTTTGGAATTGGTTCATTAAAACCTACAAAAGAAATTACCAACAATTTAGTTTAATGAGATACTTTTTTCATTCAGTCCTGAATTACAGAATAAATATTTAAAGTAAATTTGTACTTTGTCCTATATGTTTCAACTGCCGAACATCATTAAGTTCTATGTAATTCAGTTATATTTGGGCTAAAGTATGGTTCTGCTAAATTTATCCTTAACTCCAGCCAGATGTATAAAAGCTGAAATACAATAAAACGGCGATTCTCAAACAGAAAATCCTTTTCCTCTAGAGGAAGAATTTCAGATTTAAGTGTTTTAATAATCATTGTTGGCTTTATCTCGTATGCACGAACTTAATTTCATCTTTACTGATCGCTTCCTTTATGGTGATATCGTTGATTAAGTAGACTAATTCTTGCATAGTAGAGTTGATGACATTGACTGTATGATAATGTTGGTGGAGGATGTAGCTGGTTTTGTTGAGCCTTTCTCTTTTGTCGTTTTTTTTTTTTTTTTTTTTCTTTTCTGGTGGCTTCGAAGTTTTTTGGTTCTGAGGTGATGGAACACTGCCAATTGTTACGATCTCGGGTCTGTGTTTTGAACGGTTTAGGCTAAAGTCAAGTGGCTTTTTTTAGTCATACATATAAGTAATACAGAAAACTTACTAGATGAAAATTCAAAGGGGAGAGGAATTGAGGAAATCAGGGATCGCAAGAAGTTTTAAATGGGACTCTGATAGCAACTATGATAAAGTATGCATAATTCTATATTTTAATTTAAAGTCTGTTACGTTCGAATGATAATGTTATTATTAGCCCTTTCGGCATTCATTTACCCAGCAGTTAACGATGATGTCGGTCGAATTTTATAAAATCTTTCTCTTAAAACAATTTTTCAAGAAAATATGTTTCTCAAGTTCAGTAACTATTATTGCTCTTTCTCCTATTGATGGAGGTTTCCTTCCTAACCTTTTTGTTTGAAGTAGTGTGGAACGTCATCTTGTCATTTTCTCTTCAAGTTACATGTGATGCCTGTTTTTGTTGTTGAAAGTCCTGAAGTGATGTGGCTTCTGTTATCTTGTATAGCTCTTTGTTTGCGATTCTGTAGCGCCAGTCCAATTCGAAGGATAATCTTCAAGATCCACAGGCTTCATTCACTCAAAGTAATTTTCTACTATTGATTATTGAAAGCGGTTGTAATACAGCTGACAGTTTAGATATTTCTGAACTAGTTTGATGCTATGCATGACATCCACATGAAAGTCTCGATCTGAAGCTTTCAAAAAATGTTTGTCAATGACTTTTTCCTTTTTATAGGAACATTCCCCAGGCAGCTAAGTCCATGGCTGAGGGTCGTTGGGAACGGAAGAAATACATTGGTAGTGAGTTACATGGCAAGACTCTTGGTATCCTTGGTTTGGGACGAATCGGCAGAGAAGTGGCAGTACGAATGCAAGCTTTTGGAATGAAAGTAAGGAATTTTTCTTATTTTTAAAAACAATAATTTACTTCTGTTATTTCCAAATCCGACGAACGAGATTCTTCGTGTTAAATTTATGGAAAGTGTTAAGACTTTTAAACTTTGTTTCGTTGTTAACAACTAATAAAATAACAACAAAGCAAAGGTTAAAAGTCCAACAAAGACCAACACGTTGACATTACATTTATAAAAACACTAAGTTATTAGCGGTGAAAAATTAACATATTTTAATATCTATGATTCTAAATTCAAGAAGAATTGAAAAAATTCACTTAATTTACACTTGAAATTTTAGAAATGAGAAATGATCATTATTATATACTGTTCTATTCAGCCCAGTGTGTCCGTCTTCGCTGTTATATTCATAACATTTTTGTCGTCGTAATCTCCGTTCTCCTTTACGTATCTCTCGTAATCGTTAATCTTTTATTCAATCCATGAATTGGTCTTATTCTATTTGTCTTACTTAACAAGGAAATTAACCGATGCTATATATATATATATATATATATATATATATATCCAAAACGGAAAACTGTATGATAAAAACTACAACTTGCAGCAATGTCTTTGTTCGGGAGATTGGCGGTTTTGAGGAGCGTGGAACCACCTCTTAATTGCCGTTGTTCCTAGGACTACCCTGACCCGGGGTGATAGCACCTGCTAGGGTCCAAGATATGGGCAAATAGTGAACCTCGAAAACAAATCAAAACGCTAGGAAATTAGCAGAAATACGTTATTGTAGCGAAATGACCAGCAATATATATTTTTCATAGTAGAATTACCAGTAAAAAATTTATCGTAAAATGACACTCAATAGATTTTATAGTAAAATTGAAAACCTGACATAAATTATCAAATTCTTTTGAAAATAACAATTTAATATCATTTCTTGTAAGTTTTCTCTCTTCGTTTGATTTTTTTTTTTAATATTATTTTAAAAAATCGGCTAAATTATAATTTAATCATGGAATAATGCCATTCTTCTGAAGTAATTATAAAATTTGAACGTTCATATTTAGATTTTGGCATTAAATAAACCCATATGTAGTGAAATGTCGCTAAACAACTAACCCCAACCAAAATGGAAAGTAAAAATGAGAACAGTCTACCCACTATATTAAATAAAGTGTTCGGTTTAAAATTACGAGAAGGATGCTGCGTACGGCAGACACCTGATGAATGCTAGAGTTTACAACAGCTGAAATAATATGAGATTAGCAACCAAGATGAGCACACATATGTGAATACAAATGCATATAATAATATTTACATATTAGCAACATTATATATACTCTTTAATTTTATTTTTTAATTTCTGCCTTCATTGTAACACGATACTTGCTTCGAGGGGCTCCGATTATGTTTTATGTTACCATAACAGTGGCTTTTTTCGTGTCTCCTAAGACGAAATTACTAAATATTTATGAGCGAGTCCCTTGTTATGGATGGAGAAACACGTAAACACAGTCACATATGATGAAATTGTCTTTCAGACAGTTGGATATGATCCAGTCGTTTCGGAAGCTGATGCTCTGCAGTGTAAAATCACAAAAATGTCTCGGGAAGAAGTCTTCTATCAGTCAGATTATCTTACTGTTCACACTCCTCTTATTCCGCAAACTAAACGTGAGTCAGTCTTGTTATTCTTTTTCTTTGCCTAAATAAATGAAATCTCATCACTTGTATTCTGTATGCATAATGTTGTCAACCACACTTCGATGTCTTATCTAGATTTCAAAACCAAAGCCGGAAATGATGGCCTGACTGATTTTAAACATCATTATATATTCGAAGCATACCTTAAAATGGTTCAGAATATTAACAGAAGTAGTTGCGGTGCATGTAGCCTCTGGGTTCTAATGATTCCTCACTAGGGACCCAAACACTGCATCATACCGGATGTCAACAGGTTGGTTAGCTATCTATTATCTCCAGTTCATGGCTTGTCTCCATACTGAAATCACGGCACGTAAAGCGTAACACTCGGACGAGTACCATATCTTTTCTACTGTCTCAACTGTACTGGCCGTTTTCATGCATTTTTTTCGGTTTTCTATTAAAATTTAAAGGAAGGCATTCCCACTCGGTTCGGGTCGTAAAAGTTCTGACCGGTACGGTAGGGTTTGCTATTTTTGCCTAGCTTACGCATTCTGTAACAGTAGCCCACCTAGGGATCGCTTTTGTTTATCTCAACGTCTCTTCCACTTTTAAAGTGTCATGTTTATTTCATTCGACTGATGCGCACTTTGGCCTTCTTAGAATTACTTGGAACTCTGGGATAAAATATTTCCAAGATACGATGAATTCACAAGTTCAAGCAATAAGGATTTTTGCTTGGCCCAAAAAGTGGATAATTTGTTCATATTTCTTTTCTTAGTTTTTTTTTAACCACTTCAATTAGAATAAGTCGAAGATTCAGATATTTAAAGTGTAACACGAGACTTTGTTACTCGAGTCTGAACTTTTTATTAATGAACTGGTGATGAAAGTATGAGACCAAAGAACACTAGATGGAGACGTAATTCAGTGATACTGTATATGACTTATAACTGACGTAGGCCGAAAAACACCTTGGCCAAAATATTTAATTAAAAAAAGTGGGATGCTTATTTTTAACTTTTCAAACATTTATTTTTTAAAAGTAAATTATATTGTGAATAATTTCTGTAATAACATTTATTTTCTGGAGACAGTTTGAAAATAGTTCAAAGGCCTGATATGTAAATTTTCAGGGGTGGGGAAGAACTGAAATTTATTAGAGCGTCTTATTTTCACAGCTTGAATATTTTTCTTTTAATATTTTAGATATGATCAATGAGACAACATTGAACATATGCCGAAAAGGTGTAAAAGTGGTTAACTGTGCCCGTGGTGGAATCGTCGACGAACTCAGCCTCTTGGCTGCATTAGATTCTGGTCAGTGTGGAGGAGCTGCGCTCGATGTTTTTGAAGAGGTTTGTTAGAATAATTTATTATGTCTATTATTTCTAATTAAGCTAGCGAAGCAAAAACAATTAGTGGAATAGCTGGTGGAGATAAATGATTAAGTTATTATCGCAACATAAGCATTATCATACCCGCGACACGCTAACACTTGGTTCATGGATGAAAAACGCCAGTATATATATATGTTTGAGAGAAAAACTTTAACTACATATTTACAGAACATGACTGAAGCAATAATTTCTTCATGCAGTGAACCAAAAACATTTTAGGATATATATAAAGTGAATTAACGTCTTACAATGTACAATCAAGTCTACTATCAAGTATCAATAATATAACCTTGGTATAAAAGGCAAGAGAAAATGTAGGTTTGCGGTCATTCTGAGGTGTAGGTACCAACTACCTAAGTAACTTATATTTCGCGCCTCTCGCCAGACTGTCATGCGAAGCATTTCTTACTCTTTGGTATATAGATAAATAATACTTGGCTCAGTGGCAGATAATTAAGTTTACTAACGAAATGTCTGATTTTCCTCTGAAGAAATTGTCCGACCTTCATTGTCATGTGAAGGATAGATGTGACATAAGTTCTGCACTCTTTTCTTTGTTTATAATATTTTTTCTATCGCTTAAAACTTTGTTTGGCCTGTGGAAGGCATCCTTCGCTATTACAGATCTGTGTAACATTTTTGGTCATCTGTTATGAAACTATCCAGATATTTAAACTTTTGTACCTGCTTGATTCTGATGCGTCTAATTCATAGCTCAAGCCTTAGGTTGTTTATCTTCTACCTTGCAGTTAATAGCCTTTTCTTCTTTGTGTGCTGTGTCTCCTATGGACGTAGGCGATCATAGCTTCCAACAACTCCTTGTAGCTCTTAAACTTTGTCTTTCTGTTATTTCTCCTAGTCTCTGTTCTACCATCCATTTACTCAAGCTCGTCAAATATGTTATGCGTTTGTCTTCCTCTGTCCCTCTTGCCCTCTACCTGTCCCGTGAGTATCAGATTTTCCCAGCCCTCCTTCTTCATTATATGCTCCAGAAATCTCAACTGTCTCTTCCTGATGTTAAGTATTAGTTTCTTTTTTGTTTTCATTTTCTCTTGCCCGGTCCATGGTAACCTCAGCATCCTTCTGTAAAATCACATTTCTGTTGCTTCAGGTTTCCTCTTCATCTTTGAGGCGATTACCCAGCAATCCTCGCTATACGGGGGATTATGATATCACGTAGCAGTTTTAGTACTCTTTTCCTTGTTTCTGGCGAAAATTTTCTTCTGTTTAGCTTTTGGAATGTTCTCTTTATTATCCCAGTACGCCTTCGGAATACAGTGTCGCTCTTTCCGTCCTCTGTTAAAATACTTCCCAGATATTTACATTTCGCACTTGTTTGGTTTTGGCATCTTCGATTTGCAATTCGCACTTTGGGCTCCTCCTCCTGCTCACTTGTCTAGAAATACTTTGTTTCCTTTTTTGAGTCTGCCACCACCACAATGTCATCTACCTGTTTTGTGTTAAGATTGTGCCCGTCGATAATAAATCCTGACACATCTTCTAGATCTCTTAGGATCTCAAGGCTATATCATTTGAATAATTCCAGCTAGAAGACGCATCTTTGTCTTGTGCTTCTTTCTATTTCTGTATACTTGCTTGTCTTTTTTTAGCCACAAGCAGGCACTTTGTTCACAGTAAATATTACGAATCATTCTAATATCATTCTCGAATAAATCAAGTTTTCCTAGCAGTTCAAATAGATCATCGTGTCATAATTTATCGAATGCTTTTGTGCAATCTATGAAACATAGGTATAGGTTGTACTGCATTTGCATTGCTTCCTCTGATCATAAAGATTACATTTCTTGTTCCAGTGTCTTGAACGAAGCGATACTGTTTTGCCCAATTTCCGATCTTTATTCATCAAGATCGGAATTTTTACAGAAGTTATGTTTTGGGTACACGAAGGATTTATCAACCAATCATTTTGAGTTTTACAAAATTTGACTTGTTTAAGCTTGTCTAATTTCAGCTTTGTTTGGATCCTATTTTTGCATATATTTTACCCAAAGAGAAACTAGGAATACAAATGATTTTCGTCGTTAATTCTTGGTACCCATTTCTTTCCATAAAGCTAAACTTCCTTTAAATTTTCATATTAGTATTTTTTGATCAGTTAAATATATTTAAATCAATGAAAACAGGAGTTGTTATTGGTTTATTTCTACTGACTTGTCTCGATATTTTAGATAGAAAATGCTTGCCAAATTCGTAGTCGTGTAATGGGATCTATTCACACATTTGTTTTTTACCTATTCAGTTTTTTATGTAGTTTGTAATTAATACTTCGTTCTTACCATTTCTACATAAATTCAGCTGAATTCTTCATTTCACCGACCCTGGTGTGACGCTATGGGACATCCGCGTAGAGGTGGATGTAATTTAATCTCCATCTTTTCCAAAAATCAAATCCTTGAAAGGAACAAAATTCCAAGACGCCGAGGAAATCCAAGAGAATGCAACGAGGTAGCTGCTCGCTATCCCCCCCAAAAAAAAGGGTCACAGGAAAGTTTCCCTCAATGGAAATTATGCTGGATAAAGTGTGTGGCTTCAGAAGGGGTACTACTCCGAAGGAGATGACATGTTGAATTGATATGCATTAGTTTTCTTTTTTATAACACCATCCCGATACTTTTTGATCGGACCTCGTATGATGCATGGGCCTCGTATACCCTTATAAGATTGGCTATTATGATTAGTATATTGGCTTCGTATATCCGTATTCCAGTATCACTATGTTGGTGTAATGCTCACTCTAATAATAATGATCAATATTTCTTTTATTTTTATTTCAAATTGTATTACCTTAAATTTGATTACAATCTTTTTAATTGTATTACTATTAAATGTCATAATTGCAGGAACCTCTGACCAATTTCGCATTGGCTCAGCATGAAAAGATCATCTGCACTCCTCATCTTGGAGCAAGCACCAATGAAGCTCAAGATCGATGTGGCATAGATGCGGCTAATCAGATTGTTGATTTTGTTCAAGGAATAAGTTTCACAGGAGCTGTAAGTTTATAAAATTTTTATATAAGGACAGTCACTTTTATTTGGTGTGTGCAAAAGTTAACAACAACACATTGTTTTTAATTTAGTTTTTATCGTTTGGCCTTCCTTACATGTCTGCTGATACAAAGCTCTGAGGATGAAAATACAAGCATGGATGAAAAATGAAAGCAAAAATTTGTATCTTAATTTTAAAATGAAAATGGAAAGTATTTAAACTTCTACCCGGGTTTTGGTAAAGAAGCAAGTGACTTTGACACCTAGGTGTTACCGTTTTGATGTCCGGGACATTTTTTAAGTTGCAGGAGACGGTCTGAAAAAAAAAAATTTCTTCAAGTCAGTCACTCCCTAGAAAGTCAGTCATTTTTTTATTAGATGTGTGAGTGAGTGAATGAGTCTCGGTGAGTGAGTGAGAATTAAAGCTGTTTGTAGAAATTGGTGTGGAAGAAGAAAGTTTTGAACTTTTTTGTTTTTATGACAAATTTTCATGAATAAACCAATGTTTTGTTTTTAATTTACTGACAATTTACTTTTGTACACAGTTTTGCTGTTATAATATTTATTTTTTTTAAAGAAAGTTATTAAAAAAATAAATGAAATCTTTATGGATAATAATTTCCGTTGGTTTTTCTCGCCTATTTCCCTCGATATTCGTCCAAATGTTTAATAAAATTGATTCTTGGTCTCTAAAATGATACTTTTTGTCATGAAATAAAATTATAATTTATTTTTTAAACGTATATAAATTAGAGCCCCCCAATCCGGACATTACGGCCCTGATATTGTTGCAGTGGGGTTTTCCTACACTGCCCCATAGTTTACAAAAAATACGGAAGCAGGATTAGGCTCCTAAGCACTGCCTTCTGCAAGTACGGCTCTGCTATTGTTGTAGTGGGATTTTATCTAGATCTCATGATTCTCAGTTCTATAAACATATAGAGAAGGGGAGCTTAGCCCCCAAATTCCAACTGTAGAACGGCCGTAAAATCAAATTTTCAATCGATTTTTATTTAATAGTTAACGAATTTTTCTAAAATCATACCAAATGTTTGGTACCCGGAAAATTCGGTAACGGAAGATTCTGTAACAGTCTACTGAATTTTCCGAGCATCACTGCAACAATATCAGGGCCGTATTTTCTGGATGGTGGGGTTAGGGACTAAGACCTCCTAATATTTTAAAATATTTTTTAAATAAGTAAAATCTATCTACGTTAAAGTTAAGCTCTTGTATCTTTTCAAATTATTATTTTAATAATACTTTAAAAAAATATTGGAAGGAGGCCTAGCCCTCTAAACCTCCTTTCTGCAAGTACGACTCTGTTATTGTAGGTTTTTTTTCTGGATCCCACGATTTTCAGTTATTTCGGAGGAGGGGGATTAGCCCCCAAATCTCTACACTAGAAATACCCTAAAATCAATTTTTAATCGACTTTTATTTCATAGTTACCAAATTTTCCTACCTTGTCAAAATTACAGAATTTTCTGTTACCGAATTTTCCTGAAAAGGGATAATTCAGGTTGCAGGTCAAATAGCAATGAGTCTGAGGACGACTTCTTTCCAAGTGTCCAAAAAACAGGACACACAAGTGCAGACATTTGGAACCAATATACAAGTGCTAGAATTGCAACAATTGAGGAATTGGCCAAATATCTAGAAATATGTGAATCATTTCGCAAATTCAACACGGCCATTCTCTCATCAGCATCTGTTTAGAGACTATTGAAGGAGAAATTTTTCGAAAAACGTCACAGCTTGAAAGACGGAAATTTCGAAAAACAACTATTACTAAAGTTTAACTCCTTTGTTAAAATAAAACTTATAAAACTAAATTTACTGTTGAGGTAATTCCTTTTGAAGTTAGGAATGGCATATGCCTTATAAGGAAGTACACTGGGAGAACTTCGTTATGTTTTTATGAGTAAAGGATATGCTGACAGGCTAAATGTTGGTTCTTATTAAATTTGAGTACCGAAATATCTCATACACGGCTTATTAATTGCAAAAATGTCCAACGTTTATGAAAAAGTACATTTTAACTATGGAGTGCCAAAAAAGAGCCGCTTTTTTTTTTTTTTTTAATGGAGTTGGAGCGGCTCCTTTTTGAAAACGGGGAGCCAGCTCCAATTTTGGGTATGGGAGCAGCTTCAAAAATAGTGGAGCGCGTAAAGCCTTGAGTATGTGTAAAATGAAATATATATATAGTGAAGTTTATCGATATGTGCAGTAATTGTGTTTTTGAGTAAAGGTTTGTTAAAAAATTTTTTTTTTTTTTTTTTTACAAACCTTTACTGAAAAACACATTTACTGCACATATCGATAAACTCCACTATATATAGATAGATATAAAATGTAATCTTACTATAAAGGTTACTTTTTTAATGAATGCATGTATTTGAATTACCGATTTATTAAACACTGAAATTAGTAACAGGGCTAGATCGAAGTTTTACTAAAAAGAAAATCTGTTACTTGGTTCTAATGCCCATACATTCACTGCCTACCACCTGCTTCAATTTTCTCACAATTAATCATTTTTTTTTCTCTCGACTCCTGGATCTTTCCATCATTCATATGGAAGCGGACCATCCCCTTTACGAGTCCCAGTTTTACTAAACTGATAAAGGAGCCACATTACGAACAATTAATTTTTTTTTTTTTTTTTTTTTTGAAAACACATTGACTTTATTTTAATTTTGATAAATAAAAATGCGCAAAAATGTCTAAAAATATTTTGCCTAATAATAATTAATTTCTTGTTAATTTTAATATTTGCCATATTTTTAATAGCATTATTTCTTAAACTGTAAGCTAAATATTGCACCCGTTGCTTAGATAAATATCAGTTTGTCTGCTTTGGTATATCAAGCCTTTCTGCACGTTTGACGTTCTTACAATAGATTTCTTAGAGTTCTTTTCGTATATTTTTCAATTTTGCTACTCATAAGTTCTTAGCTGTGTGTAGCTGGCCGCATGTAAATATTTCGGTACCCAATCCAGTAGCTTGGACTTGATGTTTACATGTTAATAGTCATAGTGAAATGGGAAGGTCTTGCCTGTTTACTTGTGGTTGATTTGCATACTAGTTTCTCTTGGCAGTGCTCGACTGCTCCTGTTAGAGAATATCAAGTAGAAGATTGGCAATAACAAAGGCATACATGGGGAAATTTATTTCAAGCCTCTATACATAATCAAGATGAAGTTTTATTCACTTCTCAAAAAGTGGATATGAAACCTTAATCGATGTCAATGACATGCATGCCACCAATCTTTTCATGGTAAAACTCGAATATACTTTGGAGGCGGTCATTGACTGAATAACCAGTTAAGAGGAAAAAAAACTTGGGTCTGCCATTATTTCTTTTTATTGTAAGTGCACGTATTGAATAACTCCTGATGCTGTCTCTTGATTGGTTGGTCATGAACTGCTTTTTAAAGGAACCTAACGAGTTTCTGGGCCGTCTAGTATATTGTTAAAATATTTTGCGATAATAACACAAAAACAGACGAGAAAAACGAATCCATTTTTTCCCGAAATGTCTATTTTCCATTTCAGTGATTTGTTCCTCGATATTGTTCCAATTTTAATATTTTTCTATTTATGAGGAAGAAAAAACTAATGTATAATGCTAATCATTTTATTCTCATTATTTTCTTTCAGGTTAATGGCTTCAGTGTCATGAACGCTTTGAATCTGAACACAAAACCATGGATTTGTCTTGCGCTCAATCTGGGAATAATTATTGGAAGATACATGGAGATTTCCAATGTGGGCTCTTTTCAAGATGTCAAGCTAAAACTTAATCTAAAGGGTGAATTTTATTTTCAAAATTTTTCAAATGAGGCATTGTTGTTATCCAAATAAGTAACCACATTATATCTGATTTTAATCATATTTCTGTTGATACTGTCGTGTCTTGCCTTTGTGATAAGAAATTCTGAGAAGACACTGTGGCATTATTCTATAAGAATTTTCATCGTATTACTACTTTTCGTCAGCTTTGTTCCCTCGGCCCTCGTCAGATGCGTCAGCGTAGGACGAAATCATACTGAAAACATCGCTTGTCTAATTAGGCTTTTATTTTCTCTGAAATTGATTAATCAATAATTAATAGAATGTTTTCATAAATATATTTTGAAGCTATCTTGTTCATTTATACCAAATTTTAATTTATATTGGTCCTTTAAATTTTTTATTCCCAAATACTCCAGAGATATAGTCCTTAGATGCATATATACAATAATTTTTAATATAAAGAAGTTTGTCAGCTAAACAAACCAAGCTGCTGTCCTTGACAGATCATCTCTGTGTATGAATACATTTGTTGATATGCAAGGTTCATTTATTTTTGTAGAGGAGTTATAATTCAGAGTAAATAATTATAAGCCCCCTAACATTTATATACAAAAATACTTGTAAAAATGAAAAATACTAAGTTGTAGAAACAACAAAAGTATTTAAAACATCTGGTTATGTGGTGTGGTAGACATGAGTTACTAATACTGAATAAAATTGTAACTTTGGTGTCAAATGTAGATCAAATATGGATCAAAATTCGAAAGAATAAATAAAGGATATATAGTCTATATCATATGTTGTTGTTTTCCCAAGAAGTGATGAAAAGGAAATGGAATTTTCATTGACACACATGTTGACGACCTGGTCATGTGAACTGCTTGTATGATAGTGAGAATGTCACATGCTTGTAAAGAGGAGAAAATTGAGGTTGGTTCTTATTGGTTTAGAATGAGTAAATTAATTATAATTGTTATAATAATTATTATTATTAAACACCATAATAAATTTTTTATGGACACAACACTTTGCATTCATAACTATTTGTTGTATATGCTAGGTTGATAATTTTTGTGGACAAAGCCTTTATTTTAACCAGCAAAAAATATCTATGTTTTCAGTTTAATGATTTCTAAAATCATTTTAATGATATGACAATATCTTTCGGAGGCTAATAACTGATTTTTATTGTTTATTTTTTTGAAATTAGTAGTATTAATAAACATGATTGACTTAAGTTCTCTAAATTTCTTAGATGAGGCAATTTCATTATTATTTTTTTTCACTAATTTTTCTCTTATTTTTGTTGCTTGTTTAAACTCCATAGATGTAATGGTCACAACATTATATGAATTTCTACAAGCTTTTTTATTTTTAATTTTTCACTAGTGTTTCATCTTATTTTTATTGCTTGTTTAAAATTTGTGGTAGCAATAAGTTGGAGTATTACTTCAATTTCTTAAATGAAGTAGTTTTTTTTTTTTTTTTTTTTTTTTTTTTTTTAAATCCTTTTAATATAATTCAAATTTAATCATATAACTATATTTTCATTTCTGATTTTTACTTCATGCATCTTGTCTGCACCTCATAATAGATGTAACAATCTTAAGTTGCCTGAATTTTTTAGATTAAGCATTGTCATTATTAATATCTGGGCTTTTAAATTCATTTTTTTTTCTTTATACCTTGTAGTTGTAAGATTGTTTGTGGAGAATCAACATTTTGATATGAGGTGTATGATTGTTTTAGAGTAAATATTTAATGTCTCTTAGAAAATTCGTCATGCAAACAATATTGATGGACTTGTTTGAGTCTGGTTAAAAAAAAAACAAAAAAAAAAACAATGAATTAAAAAAAACAATTATGTGTGTGTGTGTATTAAAAGCAATTACATGCATACACAAGTGAAATGAAAGGAAGACACTGAAACTAGATATAAGAATGTGTTTGTGATGCATGTATCGTAGTTCAAAAGTCAACAGAGGACCAAGATAGATGTACCCTGTTGGGAGCATTTTTTTTTTTTTTTTGTTTTTAATTCTACATTTTAGAAGAGGAAAAAAAAAGAATGAAGGAAATGTTTGACTTTTTATAAACCTAAACAGCACCACTCTAATGGGTGGTTTTTTCAAAGCCAAGTGAGATAACCTATAGGCTTAATAGTTTTAAGTTTTCCATTTTTCCTAGATGAAGCATTGTCATTCATATCAATTCTTTACTAGTTTTTCTTTCATTTTATTTCAAGGTTAAAACAACCTAAGAATTATGGGAAAGAGAAAAAAATATACAAGACAAATGAATGACACTGTTTTAAGCTATCCAAATTGTTTATAAGAATCAATTACAAAGGATCATTTCATGCATAGTTAAGTATAGATGGCATTGTACACAGAAATAAAACCCATTATTTTTTTACATAGAAAAATAGGAGCTCATATTATGAATCTGTTCATATTACACATAAATGTGTTCAAACATTTTTACTCTTTAATAAATTACAGGTTGTGGTTTGGCCAAATCAAAGAAGAGCATTATGGATGTTTTCTGTGCTGGAGTTTTGAATAATAAGTATAAAACTGTTAATCTTGTTAATTCCCCAAGTTTTACAGAAGAAAGCAAGTTAAAAGTAAGTATTACAGATATTTGTGTTTGGCTGTATGCTTAATATATATCTATAATGTAAACTATGTAATGTATATCTATATGTATGCTTAATATATCTCTACATGACACTGCTGTTAAATGGTAGTTTTCCAGTAAATCTTTTAGCAAGTGCAATATATTCAGCAATATGAAGTAACCAAAGTGGGTTATACATGATGTGATCAAAGGATACACTCTCATATTCAGTAAAATGACATTCCTAAAAGATTCATGGCAATGTAGGTGTATGCCATAACACAGATGCTCAACTAAGTACACATCATTTACTGATGTAGTTTTGATGAAGGAACACACATACACGTGTGTGTGTGTGTGTATATATATATATATATATATATATATATATATATATATATACACACACATATATATATATATATATATATATATACACATGTATATGTACTAAAAAGAAACCAGTAACCATCTGAAGTGAACTTCATTCTCAGGGTGCATTTGCAAAAAGAAATTTCTTTACATTTTGAATGCTCAAAGGCTTTTTTCTACCCCTCAAATACCCTTTGAATTAAGTACAGCAGCCTAAACTCTAAGAAATGGTCAGATAATCTATAGTATAATGATGTAATTTCTTTTTTTGGGGGGTCTGTTGCTATAACATAGCAAAAGTAGCATATTGTAGTGGGATTTTTGTTAGTGAAATGCCATTAAGAGAAGTGCAAGTAGTGTAACTGCTATTGGTGCAGAAAGTGGAATTGGCAAGACATGGTCAAATTACAGACACCACTCTTTCTTTCTTTTTTTTTTTCTTTTTTTTTTTTTCCCCCCAAAAATGTCTAAAAAAAAAAATATCTCCAGGAACTTGTATACAATATTGAGGTATTTGGCTGGTTAATGTTTATCAACAATGTTGACTACCACCAATTGTATCTAGTCTAATCTTGTGCAATCATCAGCATCATAATTGGTCCTATGATGGGGTGTGGTCATGGGGTCACTGCACACCTGACCAGCTCCCTCTATATGTTTCATTTGTATGCCTATGTCTTTGTGAATAATCTTCCAGTACACTCAGTGACATTGGCAAATAACTTTTTTTTCTCTGCCTCCTCTTTTGCCTAAAAGGGTACCTTGTAGGGTGGCAGTGGAAAGATTGTTGGCTTTTATGTCTCCATACCATTTCAACTTCCTGTTATTTATGGTAGATATGGGGTCTTCTAATGTCTCTGTTTCTTGTCTAATGCTGTTTTGCACAGCATTAATTGTGATACCATCTATGTACTATATACCTAGGATAACTCTGTAGCACATAATTTCTAATACTTGAATTCTTTGCTGCAATTCTCACTGTTAATGTCCATGATTCTCAGGCATACAGAAAGACTGAATTTCACCATGCATATACGTGTGTCTTAATGTTTGAAATTATACTTCAATTTTATTCTGAACTGAGTTAGACTTCCATGTATGTTTTTTTGCATTATAAACAGGTTAGTAGTACAGATATAACAAATTGACAAGCTTATCAATCAACCAGGCTGACTTAGATTGGAGCAGAGGTTAAATCTTTTCACTTGACATGCATGCATCGATAACCCTATCAGTGGCAGTAAACACCTTTCCAGCTTTTGGACATATGTAAAAAGAAAATAGGGAGTATGCGTGCTGTAAATCTGAAGATGGTACTTCTCCCTTTGGGTCAAGATTGGGATAGATGGCTAAAATTAGTGCTCCATGCAATAGCCACACATACCTTAGCCTATACACAACATTCCTCTCTAATTAACCAATAAAGTTCAAATTTTTCTACATCCTTTTCACACTCTTAGTGAAAATTCCAGAAATGTTCTTATCTTCCAGAAAGATTCCTTGAAATTTTTTCTATACAAAAATGTTCCCAAGCAGATAAAAGCATTGGTTGAGTAATCCAAAATGTGACTTTACCCAAAGAATTGAGTGTTCTGTACCTAGCCACAGCAGAAGGAACAAAAACATGAAAAATTTAGTTACTAATGGGAATTGACTGATGAGATATCAAAAAAAAGGCATGGCATGTGGAATTAGAACAATCTACCCCTGTGGAGTAAATAAATAGTTCAGTTCAAAGTTTCAATGTTTATCACCTGAAGAAGGTTGGAGCATGCAACTGCTGAATTGTTGTGAATATGGCAATAAAGATGAGGACATCAGTTCGAATGTTATAGTATAAATAAAAAAAAAATCTTCCTGATAGAATAAATATTTCATTCTCATTTTGTTTCACTCTTTTGTTTCTTTATTTTCTCAACCAATTCAGCACTTTTAGTTTTTGTTCAACATCAACACTTTCTTGGCTTTAACTGACAATCCCCTAACTTAGTAAGAATAAGATTTAAATTTTAAGAGAGACCTTCTTTAAAATTCTTTTCTAGAATTAATTGATGATTATTGCATTCAATGTGTTTTTTTTTCAGGTGGAGATAGAATATGAAGAGAGTACTTCACAAGAACTTGAAGTGAATGTCCATTTAAGAGATAAACCAGTGTGGAAATTATGTGGTACATGTCAGGGGCAACATCCAGTGTTGACTCGTATTGGAAAATCAGTGTTGATTTCACCTCCAGCACTGAAGAGTTTCTTGACTCTCTTTCAGTTTAATGGAGACTCAAAAACATTCATTAAGCTTGCACGTAAGTACAATGTTTTTAGAAAAAAAGTATTAACTTTCTATTCATTTGAGAAAGATAAGTTTCATTCTAATATATATTTTTTTTATGCATAAACTATTAAATATAAAAATGTCAATTTCTGTCTACATTTCATAAATGAAAAATTCTCATTGTGCATTAATTTGTAATTATAGTCACAATGTTTTGTCCATTGTACACTCTGGCCTTTTTCAGATGTTTGTTGTATCTGGCAACTAATATAAAATATTCATTAATATGGACAGAAAAATGTGAACAATTTATCCTCATAGACTGAATAAAAGGTTTACTTTGATATTCCCAGGTTATCAAATACAACACATCCTAGTGGTGTACATGAAGCATAGCAAATGCTCTGGGTACCATGGTGTGGGGGTGGGCGGTTTCTCAGCAGTTTTCATTCAGGTAGTGAAAAAAACTTTGTTATTATGGGTGCCAGGATATCATGACTGTTAAACCATTTTCCAAAATTATTAGGACAAAACCCACTTCTGGGGTATATATAACCACACAGATCAGTCCGGCTGCACAATGCCAACTAATAAGACTATTCTCCTGCACAAGCTTAATATAAAAGATGGTTGCTACTTTGTCAAATGTTTAGAGTGGGCTGTGATTTCAGTGCCTGTCATTGGTGTTATTTTCCATAGACTTTTCATAGAAATGATCTTATGTATACCTATAGAAGTCTGGAGAGTATAATGACCAAAGTAGCAAACAAGATTAGAACACCATTTTAAATGTTTTGATATATAATAAGTTTTGACTGGTACAAACTAGCCTAAATAAGACTAGACAACACGCACACAAAATTGAAACTGGATTTTGGACAGATTTTATTTTATTTTTTTTTTTTTTATTTATTTATTTTTTTATTTTTTAACATTTCATTGCAAGCAAGGCAATAAAATGCAATGGAGTCAGTCAGAAAAAATATTATTTAAGAGAGGGTAATAACAGAACAGGATTCAAGGAGACAGATGGTAATGACTAGCATTACATTTAAATTTTTTTTCTTTACTTTTTTATCTATCATGTCTACTTTGATTAAGCTATGATAGATTTTTGTTGTAAAGTTTTTAAGAATGCACAGTGGAAGCTTTTCAACAAGTTCCTGTACTGCATGAACATGTATGGTAATGGTGAAATTAACTATTTCCTTATAAGAAAACATTTGTCATTCATTGACAAATTAGTGTTATTATTAATCGAGATTTATAAGATCTTTCTCTTAAATCTTTTTCTCAAGAAATTAAATTTCTTAAGTCAACTAACAGTTATTGCTTTTTTCTTTTGTATGTTAGTAGTAATATTCTTATGGAGTTGCAAGCGAGGCAATAAAGCAATGATCTTATAGGGAGGGATCGGGAACAGACATTCATAGAAGCAGGCTTAGCAATGGATTCAATAGTCTTTCCACTTCATGCCAGCTGAGAATGTAAGACCAAGAAGGTGGAGCGAGTCACTATCATGCAGGTTAGTACCAGCCATGCTGATAGGAGGCAAGAGGTCTTTCATTTGATTGATAGAGTGGACTAATGAACTCTGCACAAAAATTTGAATTTGCAAACGAAGTTCAAATTCTAGATAGCACAGTTTGTGTCTATTTAACATTAACGCCCTTGGGAAATTAGTGAAAGTGAATCCATCGCTTCTGTCTCCAGCTATAGGTTAAACAGCAGAGCAGACTTATCTAAACTTCTTGGCAACCAATCTAGAAGGACAGTTCTAAACTCAAAAACACAGAAGGCAGTGATAAACCACCCCATTATCTGTATCGAGAACATTAATAGAAATACACAGTTTATAGGTATTAAAGAAAAGGATGGAACTGCGATAGCTTACATCCCAAAAGGACATGATACTTAAGGGGAAGAATACAGGTACCTTATATTTCTCTCTGTATTATGTTCCTTCAGGATTTGGGGGATCATGTTTTTCCACAACTTCCTGTGCTTTGTTGTTCTTAGCAATCCTTTTTCTTGATGACCCCACCTCTTTGTCTTGATATTTGTTGCTCTGTTCATTTGCTTAATAACATGAAATCTCAACAAGCATTGAGATGTTGTAAAATCTTCCAATCAATGGATTTGTAATGGCTTCTTTCTAAGAAACTAAAGGAAATGGCCAACCTGGAGGTCTTTTTCACATCATAGTTGAAACAAGTCATCTGATTAGTCAATAGACGAGCCAATGACAGACCGGTCTTGTTTCCATTTTGGCAGACAATTCAAAATCTTTCTTTTGATGACTGACCCCAGAACAGTAAAATTATGCCAAGTTACTTTCTGACCAACAACAATGTGAAAAAGTCATGTATGTACCATTTTGAGCAAATATCTCTAATTATTAGATTTCCTGTTATTTTGATTTGGACCTACATTGTATATAATTGTAACTGTGTCCACAACAGATTCATATTATAGATCACAGAGATGAATTTGTTGCTTCTGCTGTGTTGACTAATCAATGCCATCTTGAGGAATTTATCTCAGGAGAAATTCTGTCTTTTTGCTTATTTATACCATATCCCATTGATTCTCAAATGTTTTAATTTTCTTTTCTTTTGCAGAAAATTTAAATGAAAGTGCATTCCAGATTTCATCAATTTTCATGCCCCATCCAAATGGTACTGAAAACTGGGGAGTCATAGCATCTTGTGAGGAGATTGATGTTTCCAACTGGAAGAATGGCTTCCAGATGTGCCTGTCTGTCACCATGAAGTTAATCTCTGATGCTTTACCCCTTCAAATGTGTCAATAATTCAGCTTTTGAAACCAGTTGGAATCAATGTGTCTTGGAAAAATTTATACCAGGAAAATAATAATAATAAAAGTAGACTACTTATCTGGAGTCTTTAAATTTTGTTATTCAAATTTTCTTAACGCTGCTTTTTTTTTTTTTTTTTTTTTATTGTCCTTTAGGATAGCAAGGCTTTGTTATTCATTATTATTCTCTGGAATGACCATGCTTTGTTATTGTACAGTTATTCTTTGGAATACCAAGACATTGTTGTTCTCATATTTATTCAGTCTCACATTATTTTTGTCTAGCGAACTGATATTACTGCTTCAATTTTTAAAATTTTTTTAATATTACCCCATGCAAGACAGTAAAACCACTAAGATGCAAGGGGTTACTGGGTGGGAAAGAAAAATAAAAACAGAAAAAATTATCAAGCAGTAAGTAAATTTTTGAAGATCAAAGTTGGTTGGAAAACATGGAGCTGAAATAGTTTCACAAGTGAGATGTGCAAGAAAAGAAGCTGTTATCATAGAACTTAGGATTACATCTAGTCAACCGAACTGTGGATTGAAGAGACCTTGCAGTCAATTTAGTACTGCACCTAAATGCAAAAAGTCACGGTACCATAACGAAGAGTTCATATGAACAGTTACCATGAAGGTATTTATAGAAAAGGCACAGGGAAGCTACGTTACAGCAGTAGGGAAAATGACTGAAGCCAAGACACTAGGTTTGGACTAATAATATTGCTGATTTTTCTTTGGATTTTTATCAAGAATCTCTAAATAAACAGCAGGAGCACCTGACCATATATGGCAGCAATATTCAAAGCATGGGTGAATAGTATGCTTACAAATATGTAAGATAGGTCCAGGAAGAAAAATTGACTAGCATGAAACAAGAACAGACATTCATAGAAGCAGGCTTAGCAATGGATTCAATAGTCTTTCCACTTCATGCCAGCTGAGAATGTAAGACCAAGAAGGTGGAGCGAGTCACTCTCATGCAGGTTAGTCCCAGCCATGCTGATAGGAGGCAAGAAGTGGTCTTTCATTTGATTGAAGAGAAGTCTCATTTTGGAGGTGTTAAAATTAACAAGCCATTCCTTGCCCCAGTTAACAGACTGTAGGTCATTTTAAGATCAGCTGCCAATTTGACCTCGTCGAATTGATCAGACTTATTACCGAGACAGGATTAAATGGTTGTGTTGTCAACATAGATGTCAAGTTGAGAACTGGTGTCATCAGAAGGGTCATTGATGAAAACTAAGGGGGGACACTTGCATTAGTATGAAAAGATCTAGATGGGTCGCTGTTCAGGGAAACTTTCATTTTTCATTTGATAAGACTGATTGAATCAGTTCAAAAATTCATCCAGAATAGCTTTTCAACTTGTGAAGATTGGTATGTCAAATGCCTTTGATGTCTAAAGCAATAGCTCGAGTTTCACCAGTCTTATTTAAAGTTTGATAAACTCTTTCAGTAATAAACATCAGTAAATCATCAGTTTACCTAGAGAAGTGAAAGCCATATTGCTTTCATGAAAGATGGCCCTGTGATGTTCTAAACCAATTCGGAGTTGATTATAGTGTCTAGTAGTTTGTGAACAAGCAGAAGGCTAATAGGCTGATAGCTCAAAGGGTCAGATGGTTCACCTGAGTTCTTAAAGACATGAACAACAGAGGAGGATTTCCGACAAATAAGAAAGCAAGAGGCAGTGAGGTATTTATTGTAGAGTTTATAGAGAACAAGAGCCAGTTCGGGAGTACATTTTTATTTTTTTATTTTTTTTTTTAAGGGCAATTACATAGATGCTATTAGGTTTGCATGCTTTGTGGGGATCCAGATTAGAGATAACAGAAACCATGGAAGGGGTTATGCATATCACTCAACAGAGACTCTGTTCTAAGAGTAATGTCAAGAAAGGACACTCCAAGTGAGTCAAGAGTTTAAGGAGAATTTTATGGGCAAAACATTATGCTTTATCAGCAGAAGATTTTAACACCTCATCTTGAGTGAAGACAGGAGGAATATAAATTTACTCTTATTTAATACACTATTACAGAAATTCCAGTAGTCATGAGAGCCAAAGTTGTTAGAGGCTAATATGGCGTTTCATTCTATCAGCAAGCAAAGACTTTGTGGGCACGTTTACATTTATTAGGTGCAGCCATGAATAGATGTCTGTTGAAATTGGAACTGTTATGCTGGTATAGCCAGAAAGTGTGATTCCAGCAGGCTATATCAGGTGAACTTTTTTTTTTTTCTTTATAAGCATTTCACTCCAAGCAAGGCAGGATGCCACTAGTATACAGGCGGTTACAGAATGGAAATGATAGTAAATAGGTGTAATGGAGGAAAAGAGGGTGCCCTAAATCGTCTCATAAATATGCGGTGGTTCTTTATCTAATATATGTGTGTGTGTATGTAAGTAAACATATAGTTAGTTTAGCTTTAGCATATGAGTTAGTAACTTTTCCTTAAAATTGCTTTTCAAATGTATACAATCATGTAGATCTGTACTATGATACTAAGGATGTCAATACAGATTAAACTGACCAGTAATGGTCCATGAGATTACCTTGTAAGCTGTTCATGTCTGGTTTGTTAATTCAATATGTTATAAAGATTTATCCAGTCCAATATAGTATTCCTTGTCGAGTTGTCTCCAGTAGCTAATCAACCAGTTTGTCATGCCTGCAGAGTTAGGGTCAATTATCAGCATTATGAAAACCAATGTCATGGAGTCAGGATGTCCTTGCACCACCAGCAGCCAACATTGACAATGAAATGCTTAAAGCCACTGACCACTTCACTTATCTGGCTTTTACTAACAGCAGCAATCAGTTGCTTGACAAGGAAAGCAATGTGCATTACTAAAGCTGCTAGTGTGATGTCTAAATTGAGAAAGGGGAGTGTAGTAAAATATTTAGGTGACATTGAACACCAAACAAATTACAGCAGGCATGTGTTCTCAATACACTAGCATATCCTCTGTCAGTGCTGACTATAATGTTTGGCACATTAAGAAAGGAAGGTTGCATCCAAAAGAATATGCCAAGCTAGTCACAGTACACTGCCTAGCATTGCACTTTATGGTTGTCAACAAGCATTACTTGAATCTCAAAGGCATCGACTCAGACAGATTGCAGATGGCAACAGATGTTCAAAAAGGAGTGAAAAGTGCAAGGAACATCTGTAGGACAGAAGACAACATGGAATGCAGAAGCATCAAACACTTCCTTCAGTCTACACCTCAACTTTTCAATACCTGTGGGAGGAGATGGTTCAAGACTGGATTACTGAATCATTTTGGTTGTTCCTCTTAGCATGATTAGTCCTGGACAACCAAGTTGCTGCCATTATCTCACAACACACACACAGTGTTTACTCGTTCCCCCCATGAGGACGAGATGTGACAAAAGGTCTTTTTAAAGTGGGGACCCGAGCGCATACACCCGGGCAAGGGACAAAAATTCCCCACAGCCTCCGCAACAGTTGGTTGCGCTGGCATCGGTGTGAGCACCGATCCCTCCTTCTTGTGCAATGGGAGGGCGCAGCCTCGGGCAGCTGTTCCCTAGGACTGGGCACCTCTCAGTATAATTTTCTCAGTTGCCCTCTCTGTTTTTGACAGAGACGCAACTGAGAGATGATAAGTCTGCGTTGAAAATCCCTCCAAGGAGGAATTTATACACTAACGTGATTTTCCAAGCATAGCTTAGATGCGGCACAAGGCCGAATGTTTGGGACACCCAGTGAGGATCGAACTCACTACTCAATTGTAATTGTTCTAGCGAGACAAGCTTGCTAACCATTACACCGCCTCGAGGTGCCCCACCCCACACATTAAGTGTTGTAAAAATTTAATTGCATTTTTTGTTATTTAAAACTTTGGTGATTATTTTGTTATAAACTGATAAAACAAAACTTTTAAACAAACTCCTGAGATCTTCTTTTCGCTTTCTTTCTCAGTTTTTACTCCAGAAATTTCTCAGAAAATTTAATTACTTATTTTTTTCTGGTAAAGGGACACAAAGACGGGGGAAAACTGTTGCACCAATATTACAGGTCACCCCAGCTGCCAACATAAAAAAGCTTGTCTGTTTGTTAGACGTTCCGTAGACAATCCTTTATAGTTAGAAGAGTTACTCCCCTTCGTTCTTGACAGGAGCGTTCCTAGTTACATACGCGCCGGGGATGGGGGTTCAAATAAATATGAGTTTTCAGTCTGAGAGGAAACTTATCTCTTCTTTAGAATTCCATTTACAGTTTTTCTCTGCAGTTTTAAGGTAATTCTCTAACTGTCCATAGATCACAATTTCGCTTCTGAGCAGGGACGTATTGTGGCAGTAAAACTAAATTAAAGTAAACCTTTTCCCCATCATACAAAGAAATACAATCGGAAACGGAAAAATTTAATAAGCTGACCTCGATCCCAGAGTTTCAAGATAAGACTTTACTTTTTTTTCAACTTTTGAAAGCAAACGTACGCGTGTATAATTCCATTTAATCTGAATCCGGACATGAAATTAAAGGAAAAAACGATTTCTTTACCTAAAAACCACAATATCCTTTTCCAACTATTTGTAGTCAAAAGAGAAACTGAGTTTTGCATGTAAATTCCTGCTGTAATGAAGAAGACGTATCTGTGTTTTTGGATTATGAGCAACCTATAAATCAGAGATAACCTAAACTCTCAATTATAACCTTATTTCATTTTTAAAAATATGACTGGAAAACAACGAAAAAATAATAATAATAATAAATCCCCCCAAAACAAACAAATCCACGTAACCAACCGTACCGAGGATTTACGGGTGTCAAGAGTCAAGACAGATAAACCGTCAAACCGGTATAGAACTTGTAGTAGTTTATCTTACTATTGTTGTTTAATTCCGACGGAATCATCAAATAATGGCTTGTATATTCCTTGAACGTCGGTGTCACCAATATATGTAGTACTAAGTAATATGTGTTACCAATATTTAACTTTGGCTAGGAAAGATGAGATTCAGGACA